TGTAATTACCTTTATTTAAGCTTAGCACAATTATTTCTGACTCAAGTTCCTCCATTTCAAAGTGAGCGTTAAATTCTATCATGTTACGGACACTGTTAGAAGAGATCTTTTACTCTGACATTATTTATTCAGCAGGAATTGAACTGGACTCAGTATATAATTATTGTGGTCACAGAGCAGGTCAGAAGCTAGGAATACTGTGGCAAGCAACTCACCTCTTGACTCCCCAAAGCCTGCCCACCATTTACAGGGTATAAGTCAAAACTATGAAGGAATACTCCCCACTTGCCTGGATAAGTGCAGCTCCAAAAATATACAAGAGGCTTGACACCATCCAGGACAAAGCAGCCCACTTGATTGGCACTACATCCACAAGCATCCACTCCCTCCACCACCAACGCTCAGTAGCAGCAGTGTGTGCTATCTACAAGATGCACTGCAGAAATTCACGAAGACTCCCTACCCACCATCACTTCTGTTTAGAAGGACAAGGGCAGAAATCATATGACACCAGATTATAGTCCAACAGGTTTATTTGAAAACACAAGCTTTCAGAGCCTCACTCCTTCTTCAGGTGTTCCTTCACAGTCGCTGGGTCAAAATCCTGGAATTCCTTCCTTATGGCTATTGTGGGTTAACCTACAGCACGTGGAATGCAGTGGTTCAAGAGGCAGTTCATGCTTTTTTACTCATTTGATGAGGAATAGAAGTGTTGCTGGCTACGCTGGCATTTATTGCCCATTCCCTAATTGCCCAGGGGACAATAAAGAGTCAACCACATTGCTGGGGGTCTGGAGTCACACGTGGGCCAAACCAGGTAAGGGTGGCAGTTTCTTTCTGTAAAGGACATCAACGAACCAGATGGGTTTTTCCTGACAATTGACAATAAATTTATGGCCATCATCGGACTTTTGATTCCAGATTTTTGTTGAATTCAAATCCACCATTTGCTGTGGTGGGGTTCAATTCTTGTTCCTCAGAATATTACCTGGATCTCTGGGTTAACAGTCCTGCAATAATTAACTAGGCCATTACTTCCCCATGTCACATGATGCAAGTGGTTGTGGAATTGGAAGGTGCTAATGAGTTTGCATGAATTTCTGCATCTTGTCAATGGTACTTAGCCTAAATCACATGAATGAATAATGCAAGTTACTGGCCGCTCTTTCCAGGCCAGATACTTTTATGAATTGCCCAGAGTTAGGGTTCAGTTTCAGCTGATGTTCCACAGAACTAAGCCGACCCACTGAACTCTCTGCTGTTTCAAAATCGTAGACCTGGAAATTGAAGATTTTACCATGTAATTCCCTTGCATCTGGTACCCATCAGAAAGTGTCCAATAACGTCAGAGAATTTGGTGAGTTCTACTTCAGTTACCCTGATAGTCACCCAGAAAAAGCGAGTGCATTAAAAACCTATTCTAACTGTTGGGTAGCTATTAAACTGAATCCACAACTCCTTACTCGTACTGCCACCCTTGATTCCTTATAACCCCTGGACCTCTCTCTACCATCCCCTGAACAAATAGACACCCCTCAACCCAACATGATTCCGGTCCAAACCTCTATGACCAAAATCCTCTTCTGCTATTTGCCTAAACCCCTAAGCCTTTGTTCCATGTCACCCTATATACCCACAACTGTTTCACCCAACCCCACATCGCCAGTCTAAAAACCCTTCTGCCAACAGCCCCTTTCCCATCACTGGAGTCTTCAACCCCAACCTTGCACACGGACTTCCAAACTCACCAGTCTGACATCCACTAGTTCTTACCCCTCCCTGCTGGGCCCAGCACCAACATCCCAAATCACAACCCTGTCTAATCGCCTCCCTGGCACCTTACTGTCATGGCATTTTGCCCACCTGGCACCCTGCTTACTCAACACTGGCACTCTTGCCTTTTAACCATCTGACCTCCTAATCCTACTTACCTTATTTAACAGGGCTGTCAACGTGTCTAACTGTGCTGTGGACATTTAAGTATCTAACATGGCAATGGCAAGCTGTCAATCTGGAGATTTTACAAAGGTTTTCTTCACGATTGCACTCATGGGTTTCTGGATATACAACATATTGGAATATCTGGACCATAGATTCAGAAAAGGTGTCGAGTTCATTCCCGATGGAGTTATGTGACCAAGCCTCCTTGGTGAAGAGAAGACATTACACTCAAGATACTACGATGAAAGAGCAGCTCTCCGAAAGCTTGTGATCCCAAATAAACCTGTTGGACAATAACCTAGTGTTGTGTGAGTTCTGACTTTGTCCTCAAGATGCTGACATTGCAGACAGCCAATTGTTAATTATTCATTTCAGGGTTCAAGTGGGAAAGTCATTAACATATCATCTTGATGGTTGTGACCTGCAAATCTATTGTGTAACACAGTAAATGTAGGAAAGATGTTGCTGATAACTTGGAAGCTCAAAACTGGGATTACAGTCGAAAGATTATGGGCCAGTTTGGAATGAGATGAGAGAAATGTTTACATGCAGAGAGTTATAATTCTGTGGAATTCTCTGGCAAAGTGAATGGTTGAGGCCAAAACACAGAATTTTTCAAGAAGGTTTTATACATAGTCCTTAGTCCTAAAGCGTCCAAAGAGTACAGGGAGAAAGCGGAAACAGGGTACAAACTTGGATGATCAGCCATTCATATTGAATGACAAAGCATAGTCGAAGGGCTGAATGGCCTACTCCAGCTCTGACTTTCTATGTTTCTATTGGAGAGTGGAGACAACTGTTTATGTTGAAGATTATAAGACAAGAGCAAGAATTCCATACCCATCAGGAATTACCTGGGGAGTGACTATCTGGAAGAATGTGACTTTGGAGAAGGTACCAGAAGGTGATTGTCAAGCCCATTCACATGATTATAACAGACATATTCGTGGATTGCTGACTGTGTTTTTGAGATATTCATTATATTAATAATTACAGTGTTTGTGATATATTAAATCAGTCTCTCATTAACACATAATCAATTCCAATAAAGCTCAATAACTTCTGGATCATCCCTTTCCCTGGCAGAATGTCCTGTTCTTGGTTGGTGACATCGCTTACCCTGGTATCAGAGAGGCAACGTTACACTCAGGAATCATGTTGGGGTTGCAGAAATATCTGACGATGACACTTGGTGCCAAATCCCTTATTATCATGTCATTTTGACTCTTTCCCTCACCAATGTGTGCTGTCAATCTTCCAAACTGTTGGGAATTTGATTCTGACTGGATTCCCCGAAGGAGCAGTCATTCTCCCAGGATTCAAAATAGAGTCGGACTTGGTAAACTTTAATTAATAAGTTATCAGTGGACTGACTGAGAAATGGATACTGAATGTTCATCTCACTGTGTCTTTAGATGTTTGTTTAAGGTTTACATGAAAGTTGAATAAAGAGTCTGACAATTGTAAGGTAATGTTGATTCTTTATTGGATTTCTAAGCAGAAGGAGGAAAATACATGGAGATAGTTGCAGAAATTGTATTAGAATTAGCAGACAGAAAGGAGTGTTTTTTCAAAAATTCATCAGCTTTATTTTAGCATAAGCTGTGAGACAATTCCTTAAGAGCTGAGAGCTTTTGATTATGATGAATTGCATTTCTTGATGGAAGATGAAAGGTTTCTTTCATTGCGGATTTAATGGTACTGCTTCGAAATGGCATCAACCACCACATTAAAAAAATTCTCCCAAATGCAATGGATCTCAGGACTGAAGCCTGTCTTTTTGTGACAGGCCATTGAGATGAGAATGCAGTCAGTCAGCAACTAGAAAGAGAAACAGAAATAAAAAGCATTGATTTAATTGGAAACAAAGTGTGCACCAATAGGTTAAACTGAAAACTTACTGCAGCTTAGAATGTTGTCAGAAACACTTTTAAGAGAAAGTTGAGGAGGAATTAATCCTCTCGGAGGGAAGTGATTATGTGAAGTTCTTTTACCACAGAGGGCTTTCAAGGCTGGGTCATTAGGTGCACTTGAGGCAGAGGTACGCAGATGTTTAATCAGTAAGGGTTGTGGGGAAAGGGCAGGAACGTGGTGTTGATGATGATCAGACCAGCCTTGATCTCCTTGCAGAATGCGATAGGCCAAGTGGCCCGCGTCTATTCCTACGTTTTATGGTCATTAGGATGCAGGGAGTCTGGCACAAGTTGGCAGCCAGACACAAGGGGTACAATGTAGCCACTGCCCTCAAAGTGTAGCCTGAGATGCTGGTGCTAGCTGCCCAAGATGGTGGTCCGAGGGAGCAAGTAATGAGCTCACATCACCAGGTACCCACTCTGACTTTCATTTCAGGAATTGGGGATGTCTGGTTTCCTTGCAACAGCACGTAGGAGAAAGAGCTGATTATTAAAGAAATGTGAATCGCAGTTAGTGGCACTGATAACAAATGATTATCCCTGTGAAAAGGCGACGTCTGTCTTGTTTCAACTCCTGGAACTTTGAAAATCCAGTAAGCTGCTCTTGCCATTGAGAAAGACCTCACCTGATTTCTCATGCAATGTTTGAAGATTTTGCACCATGGCGTATGTCATTCAGGCACCAGTAAGATTTCACCCATAAACTTTCTCCTTACTCCTGAATGCTTTGTCTGTTCATGCTCTTGAATGCAAGGACATAATTTCTGTCAGTATGTCCTGTTCCTGCTGGGTGACATTGTTTACCCTGGTATCAGGGAGACATGATTCTTATCTGTGAATAACACTCAGTGCCAAATCCCTTGTTATCATTTAATTTTGACTCTTTCCCTCACCAATGTGTGCTGTCAATCTTCCAAACTGTTGGGAATGTGATACTGACTGGATTCCCCGAAGGAGCAGTCACTGTCCCCAGGATTCAAAACAGAGTCGGACTTGGTGAAAAGTTGACTAAAATTGAAAACTTTAATTAATATGTTATGAGTGGACTGACTGAGAAAGGGATTCTGAATGTTCATCTCACTGTGTCTTTTCATGTTTGTTTAAGGTTTACTTGAAAGTTGAATAAAGAATCTGACAATTGTAAGGTAATATTGATTCTTTATTGGATTTCTAAGCAATGGGAGGAAAACGCATGGAGATAGTTTCAGAAATTACATTAGAATTAGGATACAGAAAGGAGCATTATTTTCAAAAATTCATCAGCTTTATTTTAGCATAAGCTGTGAGACAATTCCTTAAGAGCTGAGAGCTTTTGATAATGATGAATTGCATTTCTTGATGGAAGATGAAAGGTTTCTTTCATTGCGGATTTAATGGTACTGCTTCGAAATGGCATCAACCACCACATTAAAAAATTTCTCCCAAGTGCATTGGACCTCAGGACTGAAGCCTGTCTTTTTGTGACAGGCCATTGAGATGAGAATGCAGTCAGTCAGCAACTAGAAAGAGAAACAGAAATAAAAAGCATTGATTTAATTGGAAACAAAGTGTGCACCAATAGGTTAAACTGAAAACTTACTGCAGCTTAGAATGTTGTCAGAAAATATATTAATCACGACAGGGAAAGATCCTTGTGTCCTCAGAATAGTATGGTTATGTGGCACAGTGGTAGTATCGCCACTTCTTAGGCAGACAATCCCGGCTCAAGTCCCACATGCCCCAATCCCAATGTTTAACAAAAACTCCATGGACCAATCAGTAATAAGTAATCATTCAGATCAGCTTGTAAAGCATCCTATGAGCCATTGATTAGATCAAGTTGGACAGGATGAATTTTTACAGTTTGATTTTTACAGACCTGCATACTCCACCTCCAATGTAATGAACTTACTCGACTTTGCAGCAAAAGTGAAAGGAGAGGCAGTCTCTCACTGGAAACCCCCCAGTGCAACATGTCCCCTTTTCCAGGGAATCTCAGTTGACTGAGTGTCATGTTAATGCTGAGCCCGGGGTTAGCTTGAAGCTACAACATGACTTCAATGGAAATGGAACATATATTTAAAAGTGAAGACTTGGTACTTACATGGAAGCTTCCAGAATCAATGTGTAGAACGTCAGCATGCTTCTTGCTGAGTTCTGCAAACTGCTCCTTAACTTTATCCATATGGTTGACAGCTGTAGTCAGAGCATCTGACACTGTTTTCGCATGTTCATGAACTACAAAGTTTGGCCGTTTATCGAAATAACGTTTGGTCCAAGGAAAGACATGGAACATCCTGCAAGGGAAAAGCGTAACGATTCATTCTAATGCCAAGTTCCAACTTGCATTTATACACCTCAAAGCTAATCAATGAATATTTTACAACAAAGCTACATTTTACAGCAGTTTGACTGGAACTGCAATGAATCCTTTGATATGAACTTCCCTATCCTGCAGCAACACACATGCAGCACAAGAAACTTGTGTAAACGTAGGGGATACATTCAACCGAAAATAAAATTTGCTACACTGTACCTGTCCAGGCTTTCATGAACAATTGTAACCTTGTCCAGTTTCTTCCATTGGCCTTCGATTTCGTTTCTCTCCGCGTCAGTCCAGTGCACCATTTTGTCTGTTGAGAGGTCACTGCTTTCCCTTACACAAAAAAGCTGTGCTGATCCTCAGTTTGTGTCTAATTTTATAGCCTGCATCAGGGCTCTTCCCCAAAGGTAAATCCCAATGTCATTGGCTGAATCTTTTTGGGCTGGGTGGGACCCCAATGCCCTATCACTGGGTAACACTCTTCTGTTTCAGCATTAAGATAACCGCATGTTGAACATTAATCAGTCCTTCCTACCTCAATTCTGTCCAGTCATCACAAAGAGAGTCATGCTGTTTTGCTGAATAATAGTTATGTTAAGCAACCCGTTCAGAGATGTTAAGACACACCTCTGAGACACAACTCTCACCAGTTGCTTCTCTGAATCCTCATCCACCTCTGCCCTTACCACCACCATTTCCCAGCATTCTCCATGGACACTGCCCTCCTCTGCACACTTCATGCAGACAAGTTGGCACCAGCAAACCACCAGCCTTGCCAAATCAACATCCCACGACACTGAGTCTCATTTCTTACAGCTCACTCTTTGTGCTCACTCCCAGGCTACCAGGCTCTGGCGTCTGTATTGCTTGTTCACACAGAGGGTGAAGTAGGCAGCTTGTCACTTCAGGGAGCACTGAACAGACAAGTGGCTGACTAATGTTGCTGTGCACCATTCTGCCACGCTGTGAGTGAACTTCTTATGTCATAGACATAGAGATCTACAGCCAGGAGAAAAAGCCCTTCAACCCATTGAGTCTGTGTCAGTCAACAACGTAATTATCTCTGTGACAAGCATACTACATGTTCTTCAAACAATTACCATGTCTGAATGTCAAATAGGACAAGTCCTCATTGGGACCAAAGGTGATCCATCAGGGGGCACTGCCGTAGTCAATCTAGTAGCTTTTCCAATTCTAGTCAAAGCAGTTAGCCATGATCAGTCAGGGGTTTGGTCCCAGCAGAGTTTGGGGCTCTGTGTCTGCAGATAGGAGCTACAGTCAACCAGACAAGTTGGGTTCAGCCAGATTTCTGGAGGTCCCCAGTCAATTCAATTCATTCCACATGATATTGAGAAATGGCTGGAAGCAGTGTATACTGCAAAGTCTATGAGCCTGAACAACATTCTGACAATGGGACAAAAGATGTGTTTTAGTTCATAAGGCCATAAAACCACAAGATATAGGAGCAAAATTAGGCCATTTGACCAAATGCCATTTGATCATGTTTGATATGTTTCTCAATTCCATTGCTCTGCCTTCTCCCCATAATCATTGATCCCCTTACCTACCAAGAACCTATCTATCTCAAAACATTGCTGTGGTCCAGGGCAAGCCAGTTACAACATTGTCCTATCCTCAAAAAGCAGGACAGATCTAACCCGAATAAATGCTACTTCAACAGTCAACTCTTGATGATCATCAAAGTGATGGAAGGGGCCATCAATAGTGCTATCAAGTAGTACGTACTCCGCAAAGACCTGCCAAATAACATTCAGTTTTGGGTTCTGCCATGGCCACACATCCCCTGATTACAGCCTTGATGCAAACATGGAAATAAGAACTCTAGAGGTGAGGTGGGAGTGACTGCTCTTCACATCAAGGCTGAATTTGTTTAAGCATGGCAGCAAGGGCTCCTAGAAAAATTGGATTCAATGAGAGTCAAGAGAAATGTCTACAATTACTTATAGTCAGTTCTAGAGCATAGGCAGATGGCCTTGGTTGGTGGAAGTCAGTCATTTCAGCTCCAGGACATCTCTGCAAGAAGCCCTCAAGGTAGTGTCTGAGGTACAACCATCATCAGATGCCTCATTAATGACCTTCCGCCCATTGTAAGGTCAGAACTATCAATGTTCGCATTGATTTTACAATATTCAACATCATTCCCAATTCCTCAAACACTGAAACAGTCCATGTTCAAATGCAGAAAAACCTGGGCAATATCGACATTCGGGCTGAAAAGTGGCAAGTATTATTCATGCTCCTCAAGTGCCAGGCAATGACCATTTGCAACAAGATGGAATCAAGCCATCACCACTTGATATTCAATGGCACCCTATTTGATTGGCATCACATCTACGAACTTCACTCCCTGTACCACGGATGCTCAATAGCAACAATGTGTACTATTTACAAGATACACTATAAAAATTCACCAAGGCTCCTCCACCAGCACTTTCCAAACCCAGGGTCACTTCCATCATTGAAGGACAAAGGCAGCAGATACTCAGGAATATGAGCACATGTAACTCCCAACGAAACCACTCACCATCCAAACTTGGAAATGCATCACCATTCCTTCAGAGTCGCTGAGTCAAAGTCCTCGAACTCCATTGCTAATGACAAGTGAAAATTGACGACAGCACATCAAGAAGCTAGCACATCACCATCTTCTTGAGAGCGACCAGGGATGGTCATTCGAAGGCCAGTCTTGGTGCAAATCTTCAATGTTCTCAAGAGAAACTAGAACGAGTGGCGACTTGATTTCTGTGTGGAGATATTGTCACCTTGAAGATATGTGATGGAAGATGTACCTCACAACCAACGGCATGTACACGCAACTGTAGGGACTTCCCTCAGCTGCAGCTGGCTGACCAGGAAGAAGTGAACTCACCACCAACACAGGTCACAGGTTAACCATCAGACCTGGACTGCACAGCAACCTCAACAACAGAAATAGAGCAACAATGGCGATCAATGCAACAAGAAGTGACACAAGAACAACACTCCCTGGGGAAACAACATCACCCAGATGAATTGGCAAAGACTATAACATTGTGCATGTGCCATTGAGAGAGGTAAAGGAAAAGTCACCATAGTCCCACTGGTGGGAAGCTGGTGGGAAGTTTATTCTGAGGTGACCCCGCCTTAGTTAAGGCGTAAGGTTGAGAAGGCAGGACCTTAAGAGTCACCTCAGCCAGTACAGGAATTGAACCCACACTTTTGACACCATTCTGCTTTGCAAACCAGGAGTCCTGCCAACTGAACTAACCAATCCCATCTATTAAGGGATCAGCATGATTTAAGAACGATGTATAAAATATAAGTATATAGACTGAAGGGAATAAGAAATGGTTAAGGCACCCTAACAGCATTGTGGGTGTACCGACACGACATGGAATGCAGCGGTCTATGAAGACAGCTCAAGACCACCTTCTCAAGGACAGTTCGGGATGGGCAACAAATCCTGACCTAGCCTTAATTGTCTGAAGAATAAATTTAAAACATCTCAAATTCAACTTTTTGTTATTCTCTGAACATATTTTTTGATCAAGCAGATACACTTTTCTGTAATATTATGCTCACTAGTACCAGGGATTTTCCCTGCCGCTACTTCTCCAACGACTCAACATTAATCCCAACTACTAGATCCAATAGCAATTCTTTCTATGTTGGGCGTTGCACAGAATGGGCCAGAAAAGTATCCTGTACACACCATGGGAATTTCCTTACCTTCCCTCTTCTGTCAATACATATCAGGCTCATTGAAATTCATTCATTGATGGAACGCAAGTGGAATGTGGGTTCAACGTTGATCACAGAATTGCAGATATAGGGGAATAAGAAGCAGGACACAACATTAGAACAGGTTTAGAGGAGCTGGCTACTCCATGGTTATCAGGGTTTGAACCCTTTCCCCACATTGAAACCTGTCTCTGGAATGGATGTCCAGTCCCTATACCCCTGCATTCCCCATGCAGATGGCCTAAAGACCCTCCACTTCTTCCTGTCCCGCAGGCCCGACCAGTCCCCCTCCACTGACACCCTCATCCGCTCAGCCGAACTTGTCCTCACCCTCAACAACTTCTCTTTCAATTCCTCCCACTTCCTACAGACAAAGGGGGTGGCCATGGGTACCCGCATGGGGCCAAGCTATGCCTGCCTCTTTGTAGGTTACGTGGAACAATCCCTCTTCCGTAGCTACACTGGCCCTAAACCCCACCTCTTCCTCCGTTACATTGATGACTGTATCGGCGCCGCCTCGTGCTCCCACGAGGAGCTCGAACATTTCATCCACTTCACCAACACCTTCCACCCCAACCTTATGTTCACCTGGACCATCTCTGATACCTCTCTCTCCTTCCTGGACCTCTCTATTTCCATCTCTGGCAACCACCTGGAAAACGATATCCATTTCAAGCCCACCGTCTCCCACAGCTACCTAGAATACACCTCCTCCCACCCACCCTCCTGCAACAATGCCATCCCCTATTCCCAATTCTTTCGCCTCCACCGCATCTGCTCCCAGGATGAGGCATTCCACTCCCGTACATCTCAGGTGTCCTTGTTTTTCAAGGACCGCAACTTCCCCCCGTCAGTGGTCGAGAACGCCCTCCGCCGTGTCTCCCGCATTTCCCGCAACTCATCCCTCACACCCCCTCTCAGCAATAACAACCAAAACAGAATCCCCCTCATCCCCACGTACCACCCCACCAACCTCCGGATCCAACACATCATCCTCCGACACTTCCGCCTTCTGCAATCCGATCCCACCACCAAAGACATTTTTCGCACCCCACCCTGATCTGCTTTCCGGAGGGACCACTCTCTCCGGGATTCCCTTGTCCGGTCCACACTCCCATCCAGCCCCACCACACCTGGCACTTTTCCCTGCAACCGCAGGAAGTGCTATACCTGCCCCTTCACCTCCCCCCTCACTCCCAATCCAGGCACCAAGAAAACTTTCCACATCAAGCAGATGTTCACCTGCACATCTACTAATGTGGTATACTGCATCCGCTGTTCCCGTTGTGGCCTCCTCTACATCGGGGAAACCAAGCGGAGGCTTGGGGACCGCTTTGCAGAACACGTACGCTCGGCTCGCACTAAACAACTGCACCTCCCAGTCGCGAACCATTTCAACTCCCCCTCCCATTCCTCAGATGACATGTCCATCCTGGGCCTCCTGCAGTGCCACAACGATGCCCCCCAAAGGTTGCAGGAACAGCACCTCATATTCCGCTTGGGAACCCTGCAGCCCAATGGTATCAATGTGGACTTCACAAGCTTCAAAATCTTCCCTCCCCCTACTGCATCCCAAAACCAGGCCAGCTTGTCCCCGCCTCCCTAACCTGT